CACACACACGCACACACACGCACACATGCGTACACTGATATTGAATCAAATTATGCACTGACAATTTAATTGAAATATTGCAAATCTATGCGCCATAAAAATTTAGAACAAATCTTCCACAAAATAACAACATCATCAACAACAACAACAATAACAACAAGGACACAAAAGCAATAACAATCGGAATAACAAACAATAAATGGCAATCAAAATTGAAATGTTTCAAGCTTCATTTAAAAATAAAAAGCATATACATATGAGTGTATTTCGACCATAGATACAATTTGCAACATATGTGTGCGGGTGTGTGTGTGTGGGTGTGTGGGGGGAAGGGGGCTACAAATTGATTCGGCGGATACATTTCAAATAAATAACAACAAATGCGAAATAACAATGGTAAATTACAATTACAATTTGAATTTGAATTTGAATTTTCATTTTCATGACTTCCGTTTAATAACAAATAAATCGCATAATCCAAAGCATAATATTTTCACAATTAAAATTTCAAATAAATTTTAGCAAAGCAGCAGCAAATCAAAGCAATTACAACAACAACACACACACCCAGGCAAATACAATAAAATAAATTAGCACAATCGTCAAAATTGAAGAACAACAAAAAGAATAGATACGTAAATATAAACGATTATTGACACAAACACAAAGCCAATAAATGATTGGGCCAACAAAGGGGTAAGCGAGTGGGCGGGGCGGGCGGTGGGCGGTGCGGCGACTTGCTCTAGAGATCGATTGTGCGTTGCGCGCAAATAAACAGCAAAATTAGCGAAATTATGCAAAACGATAATAAACATTAAAAACCGGAGACAGGAGCTTGGAGACAGGAGAAGACGGAGAAGAGGCCGGACCAGGTTTTTGGCGGCGGCATGTAAAAAATCAAAAATCGCAGGCAAAATAAATAAATAAGCGCGGGCATGAAATACAAATTAATCAGCAGAAATAAAAAGAATTACATATCGAAGAAATCACAAGGCGCAGGGAAACAGGTGCACGGGGGGAGGCTGGGGGAGGTAGAAAACTCGAGCAGCCATTTTCGATTTGCATTTTGTGGGTCGTTTGGCAAACTTTTTCATAATCTTCGGCAAGCAACAGAAGAAGAAGAAGAAACAATAACTACAAAAAAAAAACGAGAAGAAGAAGATGAAAACTTTTGCACCTTTTGCGGCATTACAGCGCGCTATCTCGCTCGCACAGACGCAGGCCAGCTCTCTGTCGCACGCGCGCTCTCGCTCTCTCTTTCGCGCTCTCTCTCTCTCTCTCTCTCTCTCTCTCTCTCTCTCTCACTCAGGCGCAGTTCACACCTTGGCTAAACCTTAGCAAAAGTATCTATCGTGCATAAATATTTATGTATCTAACTGGGGCGTGCCGCTACAACAGCAGCAACAACAACAACAACAACAACAACAGCAACAACAACGAAACAAGTTTTAGCATTTAAATGAGCGCCAAAGTTCGCCAAAAATTGTTTTGGTTGGCTCCGCCCACTTGCGGCCACAAAAAGAGCGCAATGGCAACGCCAGCGCCGACAACGACGTTGACGTCGCTGCCAGCTGCGACTGCGACTGAGCACAGTTGTACAAAATGTTATCTCTCACAGATACACACGCACAGCAACGCTTACTACTACTGCCTGCTGCCTGCTGCCTGCTGCTGCTTAGAGCATTTATGAAAATAACCACCTCGACAGCGCTGCCAGCGCCAGCAGCAACTGCGACAGCGGCTACAACAATTGGCATCAGCCAGCAGCATCAACTCGTTCGGGCCGCGCAGTCTGAGTCGCAGCAGAAGCCACAGTCACAGCCACAGCCGCAGCCATAGCTGGTGGTTACTTCAGTTGTTGTTGTTGCTTTTGCTGTTGTTGTTTTTGTTGTTATTGTTGTTGTCTTTGTTTTGACCAGTCGATCGCCAGTGATGGGCGCTGCCATTGCCATTGCCCAGTTCGTTACCGCTCGTTTATGGCCGCCAGCACAGCCCGCACATAAATTACTTCTGCTGCTGCTGCTGCTGCTGCCGTTTGCCTATCTCCCTGTTCGTCTGTCTGCCTATTTGTCCATCTATCCATCTGGCTGGCCTACCTGTCGTCACATAGATACATTGCACCTATGTATGGGTGCCCTGTGGAGCAGCGCGTCCTTCCGTTTTGCCGTCGCGTTTTCCATTCTAAGGTGAGTTCGCTTGCAGACAATTGGAGCTTAAGCATACTTTTATTTTTTTAGATTAAGCTCTGGTTATCTTAATTTTTTTATCCGTAATTAATCCGTTTGGCAGTTTACTGAGAAAGTAGCTGTGGCAAGAATCCTCCTACGAATTTCAGGCGGGGAAACATTTTTAAAAACTTATTAGTGGGGGGCTTCCTATTAAAATGTTTATTATCATAATTATTTGATTTATTTCTGTTAATCTTCATTTCTTTAATTATGTATCTGTTATTATTATTATTTTTTTTTTATTATTATTCATATTGTTAACATTTTCCAAAAAGAAAGAAGCTCAAAAGAACTATAACCATTTGGAAAAAGATAGTATTAGCTTATTAGGGTTCTCATATTTCCTTCCTTATTAAAGAGACCCACAACAAGCTATCAAAACCCCAAAATGGCTTCACTTTACAGCTTTACACTTCAAAATTCATTAAATAAGTTGCTTAAGAAGCAGAAATTATACAGTTTGTATATTTGAAGCGTTAAATGTACTCTAATATACCCAAAGCCTTGACTCTCTGGACTCAAGATGCATGAAAAGTTATAATAAGTGCAATTTGATTCGATGCGGCAGAAATCGAATAGATCACAGCTGGCGCCCATTAAACCTCAAACCACTGCAGGCAATTGCAAGCCACAGTTGGAAAACGCGTCAATGGAAATTTTAAACCAATTAAAACAGCTGCTGCAGTTGCTGCTGCTGCTGCTGCTGCTCTTGCTTCTGCTCTGTACAATGCGGCGTATGCGTAATGAAAAGCAAATATTAATAAATCATACGTGACCAATCAATTTCATACTGCGGCATGGGTCCAGGCAAAGATACAAACACACACATAGATCACATACACACATATATAAGAGAGTATAAATGTGTGTGTGTGTGTGTGTGTGTGTATTTACAGAGCTTGTCCAACTGCCGTAGAAGATTTGATGAGCGCCAGCAACTGTCGCCCGCGCGCGCATGCCGCAGAATCAATATTTAATTTATAATTAACTTTACAACATGAAAAACAACGCGCATACCCAAGACTCGAGAGGGGGGTCGACAGAGAACTAGACCCAGATCCAGAACAGATCCATGTTTTGCAGGCGCCGTCGCTCGTTTATCTTTTTAGCACACAAACCGAAGCGTTTTGAGGCAGAGGTAAAAAGCCGAACAGCAGCAGCAAGAGGGTGGCCGCTCTTGACATCACGTTGGGGCAGATTTGTGGCGGCTTTAAGCGTTTGCCACTATGGGCAATTAACGCGCCCATACGCAAACACGGGCCTGATCCTTTACACAAACACAGGGGCGCTGGGCAGGCACACACAAAAAAGAAACCGAAGCATTACGCAAAAACACAAAGTCTGAACAAAAACCAGGCGAGGGTATGTTTGTGCTGGAGAGCGAACAACTAGAGAGAAAGAGAAAGGGAGAATGAGAGGGAGCGAGCGAAAGCACAACTTTTGCGGGGATGCTAATTGAAAAACTCAATATTTATCTATGCGAACAACTTACAACAGCGTCAACCCAATCCCCGCTCTCGGGGTGGTTCATGGCAGTTACAGCTGGCGGCCATTTTGAACAGCTCTGTGAAAACTCCAGCTAGCTCTTACCAATGTTAATGATAATAATAATAATGATAATGATAATGATAATGATGACTAAGTTTGGTCACCATGATCGTTGACAAATTGTGGATCAGAAGTGGGAACCAACTTTTCACAGAGGAAATGTTGTGACCTCTTGTAAGTGGAAGTGGAACACAGAAATCAGTTAAATAAACAGGAAGAGCCCTGGCTGTAATTGAACTAGGCAGGCAGCTAAAGCCAAGTGTCAAGGGCACTTTTCAAGCTTCAAGTGTGGAAGAGAAACCAGTGTTGTAAAGTACAAGCCGTAATTAGAGTTTTGACTGCAAGTGCTGACTATCAGAAACTAGATCTGAAGTATAAAAAAAAAAACATTTAAATGAATTTCTATTTAAAAAATTATTTTTTTCCAAATCCCGACTGTTTAAAATTTAAAGCTCTCAGTACTATCTTAAGCTCTACGGGTTTTTAAAAATAAAAATTTCATCCATTTTAGTATTATTATTAGTAGTATATTATTAAAATTAAACTTTCTTTCATTGGTCCTTTGAGCCATATTTCCCTTTCAAGAGAGGTGGGTTTTATGGAAAACATATCAAATAAATTTCCTCAAAGATCTTTTAAAATAAATGTAAAGCCGCCTGGGTGGGACATGACGCGGAAATACTGGCTATGTATGTTCTTTTATCATTAACGCAGATTAGGTTCGCCTTACTAGTAAGTATATTTTTCTGCATGTGTTTCATATGGATGTGGATGAACATAATGTACATAAGTGAAAATATATTTACTATATAGGCATGTATGCTTTCATGCTCGCAAATTTATTTCCCGATGCGCTGCAAGATAAAAAAAAATTAAATTTGCCTCCCATGAATTGGAATGAGACTCGCAGCATTGAAGGAGGCGTCATAGGAGGAGAAGGTTTAGGAGGAGGCAGCGCAGGAGGGGGCAGCAAAGGAGGAGACGACATGGCAGGAAACGGCATGGCAGGAGTCGGCTTAGCAGGACGTGGCATAGGAAGAGACGGCATAGCAGGAAACGTCGTTCAAATGGTACCCTTCTACTCGATTCTCATGAATTCAAGTAGGCCCTGCAGATTTTCATGATTTGACAGTACATTTTTTTTTTGGTTTTTTTATTTTGGTGCTCTTTTGGTATATTTTTTTACAACTTCATTTTTGTTTCTATGTTATTTTTGTATATATATTAATATGTATATCTATAAATATATTTGTAAATATGTATGTATATATGAGTATCTATCTTCTCCTTCATTTTGGTGATATGTATATAAAAAAGTCGTCCGCCCTCATTTACATAAAGGTGGGTAAGTGCATATATGTATATTTCAATATTAATATTTCGTCTTACTTCATAGTTAATTATATGAACCGTAAGCCCCCCTCTATGAACCTCATGCCTCTACAATTTATATTATCAATAAATTGCTCAGTTTCCCCCTTCCAATAGCTCGTTCAGAAGACGCCACGAAACGTCAATTGGTGTGATCACCATTTAGCACTAAAATGTATATGTATATATATCACATTATAGTATATAAACGATGCGGCCATAAACTGGATCGTTCTGCACCTTTTTAATGATCATTGCAGTTATGCGCTCGCCTGAGTTTTATGGACCTGCTGCACACCGTAGACGTTGCGTCGACAATTTTTCCCAGAAAAAAAAACATGCAATCAGCCCCCGGTCAAATGCAGTCACAGATACAGATACAACAGGGCCCAGGCAAATGCACTCGGCACTTATTAGGCTTTTGATATATGTATCTGCCAAGCGGGACGACAACCGGGACGTCTACGATGGTGAAGTTTTTTTGGGCGTATGGCGAGTGGGCATGGCTGGTGGCATGATGTTTGTATTATTGTTGGAAATAAACTCTGATTTTATATTGTTGGAATTAATGATTTTGTTCCCCTAAATTTGTTAATTACCAGCAAACAAATTTGTGTATACAAACCATGCTTGAGTTTTTATGCATTTTCTATAGAATTTTTGAGTGATTATAGCGGGCCAAATGCGTGCATTGTGGGATAGAATTTGTGAGTTGCCATAAGAGGCATTGTTCCTATCAAATGCTGGCTACATATATACAAAAATATCACATGATCTGCAGTCAAGTGGGTGCTGTAATGGGCCGAGTTGACTTTGACAACTCTTTAATGATTTTGGGCTTGGCAAATACTCTTTCATCTCGTATTGTATGATGAGAAATTCAAATATGAATTTATTGATACTCTCATTACTCAACTATCGCATATCTCATTAGCATTAGCCTCTTTAATCATTCGATTAGGATTATGTCGTAGTCTGTTAACGATTTATAATATAATTGGTATTCCCCAAAAGTTATCCAATAATAGGCAGCACTTGATGCACTCCAAATGGAAAACTGCAGCGATCGGCATTAGTTTTAAAACAATGCAATGTTAACAAACAAGAAAACAACACGTGGGGGGGGGCTGAGGGGCAGGCATTAATGCTCCCCGTTAGCAGCAGCAGCCAATATATCAATTACATGCCCATGTCGAACATAATGCCAGATATAATGCAATGCAGAGCATGCCAATGACTACCGGAAAACCCCAAACAACAACAACAAAAGCAACAACAAATAGTGGAAAAGTGCCTGGGCATCGGGAGGCAGGAGCTAAGGCCGATTACGAGCTGTGGGCGGGGTTCTGTCAGCTCAAGTCAATCAAATCGTCAGCTCGGATCGCTGAAAAGCTACAAATGCCTTATTGTCAAAACAAACGGCAACAATTAGTTTACCAAATTACAAGAAAATATTTTTTAAATGCTCCACAAACATGCGGCAGCACCACAACGAGACTTGACACATGGTCTCTGATGGGGATGCGTTCCACCACCTCCTTCTCCTCCTGCTGCCGCTGCTCCGCCTTGAGACGATCGGAGGGGCGCTGTCACAACGCTGTCTGAATGTCGGAGCAGTCCATTTGTGGCATGTCGCCGTCATCTGTGGCCATAGTAGCTGCGACTCGCCTCGAGATTTACAAGATTTTGTAAATATATATCGCCAGCACTTTGCATTTGCCCCGCTTCCAATAACCCCCTCCCTCTGCTGTCTCCCTCTCTCTCTGTTGCTCCCTCGAATGCGTGCAGTGTGTTTTATTTCAAATTCACACGAATGGCGCACGCGAGATTGCCTGCTTATACACTCGTTTACAAAGTAAAAAGGGTAGATTAGCTTTGTGCATTGTTCGTCTAGCTGCCCGTCCGTTGTCCGTCCATTCGATTAAACTAATGAAGCTAGATGCTCGACGTTTTTGAATATATATATAATCGGACTTAACTATATCTATATATACTATATCTTCTCCTGCAGACCAGAATAAATACTACCCATGAATTCCCCCTTAGATCGATTGCAGAATATAACAAAAAAATAATAAATTAATATATTAATAAATAGGACAACCTTTTTGAATCCCTTCTTAGACGAGTATTACCCAATCGATGGCATTCGACTGCAATATATTTCTACTTGTTTTCGGATTTGGATTTTTGTTTTTGGAATATTTGTATACAATAACGAGTATAGCAAGACGTGAAAAACCATGGGGAGTATATCTCGTAAATTAACGGCGTTCCTAGCCCCAGCCCCTATTGTTGCCGCAGCCATAAAATAAAGTTTCGAGAAGCGTATAAAATTTATAGCGCCCGCTATCCCAAGAAAATCTGACAGCGCACACCTTACCTCTTGTGATTGACAGGACCGCAGGGGCGTTTGTTCTTCTTCTTGTTGTTGCTGTTGTTGTTGTTGTTGTTGTTGTTGCTGCTGCTGCCCTAATGCAATTCGCATTTCAATGCAATTTCACAGGCAATTGGCAGCGAATGCACAATGGACCTTAAGCAGCTCACAGCCTGCAGCTCAACTGAATTCCCGCTCGGATTGGGCCAGACCCGGGCACTGGATTAGGCCCATGTGAGAGAAATGTGAATTGAGCAATGTGAACAGTTACAGTTAGATCAGTTATTTAAGGTGCTTACACGGGTTGCTCTTTTCTATTTTTTCTTCTATTTTTTAGCAGGCCCAAACAACATTCAATTGTGCAACAATTTGTCTTGGTGGTGAGCTTAGCCTGGCCGCTGGCTAACAGAACAATTTCTTCTTTGGGTTTTTTTTTACGCTCTCAAGCACTCGGCACTCGGCACACCACTTCAACCTGGTGGTCCTGGCAACCCCTTTTTTGGCTGAACACACCCCGTGCTTTGCCTGCCTCCCCCCTTTCCCCTCTACACACTCCTCAATTTAGCATAACAATGGCGTTGCGACTTCTTCCGTTCAGGGCTTATGGAAATTAGCCCTATACACAGCCTCCAGCTGGTTGGAGTTGAGCATCGTCTGTAAATTAATTCATTTATATGCAGAAAATTCAACGTTTTGTTGTTGCGAACAATGTTACAATGTTATCAATTTTGGCCCAGCGGCCACTGCGGCCCAAGCCGGGGCTTAAAGGTGTGTGGCCCGAAGATTCTCTCGCACAAACGTTTGGTTTTAGGCAGCCGCTGGTTGGGTTAGAGTTAATTGATTGTGGGCGTCTGCTGGGTAACTGAAAAGGGGATTCGAATAAAGGCTTGACTGTGCTCTGATTGACAACGTCAAGTGCTGATTATAGACCTCTAAAATGCTTAGTTTCTGAGGGATTATGTGAGCCAAGTTTTGATAGAGTTAATGCACTTGAAACTTCCATAACCTTATCGAAATCCAACCGAATTGATATGTCTAATATTATTCATAGTTTTCTTAGGTTTACTCGCTGGATTCACAATTTAAGCCAACAGGTTTTCTTTAAATACAACTAGTTTTTTCCACCTGTAAGCTGAGATTTTGGTTCAAATCTTCGTTTGTCACAAGTTCTTAAAACTATATCGAAACAATTAAGTTTTTAAGTTTCAACTGCCCGTTGTACTGAGAATATTGCAAGCCTTAAATATTTCCCTATACAATATGCGGGCTAGATTTAATATCTACCAAATGTGGTTAGATAAATGCAAGGGCTAGAGCCAGATCCACTTTTTATTTGGGCTGGATCCCTCTTAAAGGTATTTTATAATTTATTATAGCTAGACTATGTAATTAATAATTATGTATGTACGCATATCTAGCAGACATTCACTATATCTCCGCCAGGGCACAAGATCTCACGGCTGTCACGCCCATTTCCCTTTATGAAAGTAACCCAAAACAAATAATTATTCAAGTTAAAATTTTGGGTTTTGTCACCGTTTTAAGTATTTCCGCATTGCAATAGAGCAGACCGGAATAAGTGTAAGAAAGGCGCGAGAAATACTAATTTCCATGCCATTTCAAGTGTATATTCAAATTACACACAGCAACACACACACACACACACTCGCACACACACTCGCATTGATATACTTAACTGCCCAAAATATTTGAATTGGGTAGCAAACGGAGCCCGTTAATGAAATGCGACACGTATTTCCCCTGCGCCGCCGCTGACCCAACTTCAAAGTGTGTGGATATGGATGTTGTACTCAAATATGGATGAGACTAACCAGGCCCGATCCCTATAGCCGGCCAGCCAGCCAGGCAGCCCGTGCCCGTCGTCAGTCCAATGTCAGAGTGTAATAAATATGAGACTCATTAAGAAAACCATAAATAAATGCAGCGTCAGTGCATGACCAACAATTAAGAGCCAGAGGAGAGCTGCTCTGTCCCAAGATCGAACCAAGGCGATCCGAGCCTGGGGGGAAACGCAGGAACGGAGGCAGACAATGTAAGAGGCAGATCGTGCTGGCTATTGATGCAGCCCAAGCTCATGTGTAACATGAGCAAATACTACGACATAGCTGAATGATGTCTAGAAATTGTCGCCCGGCAGTCTGGCATGGTCTTAGCTCGGGATCGGGGTCGGGGTCGGGGTCTCTCTATCTCTCTCTCTCTCTCTCTCTCTCTCTCTCTCTCTCTGTATGGTCCACTTGAGGCCAACAGGCGACAAATTTCAGCCCAAAAATAGCATGACACTTGAATTTGTATTGGTTTCTCAGCCAGAGACAGGTTTTATGGTTACGCATTCATTGTATAATTTACTGTATGCAGATGTTGGCCAGGGAATGCCGCTTGCTCCGAAATTCTATTGAATTTCAACAGAATCGAAAGGGTCCAAGTCCAAGACCAAGTCGCAGTCAATGGGCCATGTGAACTTTTGCACCTGTGCACAGATACAAATACAAGCCACACGTACATCGAGTCTATTATAAATGTGACCCGAGGCTTGTTATGGATAAAAAACAATCAGGCACAAAAAACACATTCGTGAACTTCCAATCCTGAATATGTACATAAATATATATATATATATATATGGATATAGCCTGCACTTGCTCCTAGCCGAACCGATACGAGGCGAACCTTTGATTTCCTGACAGCAGCAGCAGCTCCCTTTGATTTAACTTTAAGCCGGAACAGGCAGACATCCGGGCAACATGCTCCTCACATGCTCTGGCTTTTTGCTTGCCAATCGATTGGGCAATTTTTCGCATTGTCGCGCGCTCTGCCCAAGCAACCGGAGGCTACTTGGCCGCGCCCTCTGTGTGTCCGAGCTGTGCCCCCAGCGTGCATATGAAATGTTTCCCCCGCCCCGGCCGGTTGGGCAATATTTACAATCATAATATTATTCGCGCATATGGACTTGAGGTCGTAATCCATAATTGGTTTGCCTCTTATGCAATGATTGTACATTGTTCTGCGAAAATTCCTGCAGCTCTTCACGGTTATTTGGCAGTTTTAATTGCCATTTTTATAGAGCTTTAATTTATATATGTATATATATACTTGTTCAGCATCTACTGCCCAGCTGATATAGCTATGTACGTCTGTCTGTTTCCCAGTTTTGCAGCTAACTTCATGAAACTT